ATTTTGCATTAACGAGCGCCGCTCAAAGCGCGTACACGTCTCTACAAGGATGAGTTATTATTACCCTGTTCGTGGTAATGACGCGTTTTTCTCAGATATGCGACAAGAGAGAGAAAGAGAGAGAGAGAGAGGGGGGGAGTCTCGCTGAAAAATTCACGCCGTCGCGGTCGTCTCAACCTACTCGCCTCTTCGAGATACGTCTCGTTGCATCGTTTTACGCGCGCGACACGCCCTCGTAAATGCGTTTTTAGTCTTTATGAACGTGAGACGCGTTGCCCGAAAGCAAATACAATAACGCTACGTATCTCGGCCGTGCCCAAGAGGTCGTTCTGAACGTATAATTGTAGAATTCCTCGAGAGCGGACGAGTAAAATAAAATTCGTTCCTCTAACGAATCAAAGATAATTCCTTCAGATGACAAATAATTTATAATTTTTTATAAATTCTTAAAGAGACTTGTTAATTTCTCACGAAAGAGAGTATTATGATACGTTAATATATCGTGACTTTACGATAAGATAAATGAAATTAACGCGATTAGATGCCATTGGATTAGTTAATAACTCGAGATCAACAAGAGCTCGCTCGCGGCGACTGTCCAGTAAAAGGTCGGTTCACGTTTCTCACGGTTAATTAGACAATTAGGTGATCACGCCGGAGTTCATCCCGCACGGTTCTGAACCTTTCTAAGGCAGGTCACGGTTCCCGACGACGAAGTCGTCGTTCCACCGGCCGCTATCTTTGGCACGCGCCGCGCCGCGCTTCTCCGACTTGGACGCATTCGGATTACTCCGAATTTCGCTTCGCATGTCTCGCAGCTTCCACGATGGGGTACGAGATGGAAAATACGTTCGCGAAAGTTGTGGCTTTTTGATTTTGAAGGCAATTTAAAAAACGAGTTGAGCGTTGACACATATTGAACCCTTTAACCGCGAACGATATAGATATACTCGTATATGTATGTACATACATCCAGATGGGATGATTGAATATTGAAGTTAGTGGTCTGCCGCGCGAAATTGTAATTAAGAGAATAAAACAATTTTTTGCGTAACACAGCTAAAACAGAGAAGACGGTATAGACGGCATAGTATAGACCGCTAGAAATATCCACGCGGAAGCAAGATGGCACGCGGAAAAGTCAATAACTGCAAGCGGTTTATTATTTTCCTTTCTTTCGGAGAGGCCCGAGATTCTCGCGCGAGTTTTCCTTCCTACGTTTTTCGTTCTCTTTAACGATATAAAATGATTTGTAGCAGCTGAACATTCTATATACGAATAAGCAGCAAATTGTGGGTGTAAGGCAATTTTGTTTATAGATGAAAAGAGATCGATTTTGCAGATTAAATTTTTGCTAACAAATAAAATATCGGCAAAGGTAGTTAAACGGAGTACAAAAAAATTCGACGCTGACTCATGAGCATCGTGTCCGAAGTCCTTCGTCACCGTTTCGCAATCGGCGCGCTCTACGGATCGTTTCCACTTATTCAACAAGGACCTTGCGGCGGCACGGAGATCTCCGTGGGGAGTATGAAAAATAGTACGCGACAGAAAAAAACACACACACCGATTTCACCAGAGCACTTCATTCCTTATTCGCGAGGTCGTTGCATTCTGCGTCGTAGAGTCGCGGTCGGGATTGCGTGGCCTGCATTGGGGGATTACGACAAGTTACGGTAGATTTCTCCAGCCCCGAGAAAAAAATCATGCGTGACACGCATCCTCGCGCACGCACGTGCGTTGCGAAGAGGGTGAGAGAGAGAGAGAGAGAGAAAAAAAGAGAAAGATCACAGATTTCACAATCAAATGATCGCGATGGATCTTGACGATTTATCCTCCTGACTCATACACACTCGTCAAGCTCGGACCAGATTAATCCCAATCGATCGGAGATTTGCACGCAGGAATCACCGCACTGCTCATTCACTGTGTCACCGTGTCATCGGTATTTATCGCACCCCGTCGTCGTCGCGATCACCGTTATCACCGCATCGTCGGGGATGCGACAGCGATCCCCGTGGATCGCTGACTCGCGTCGATCGGGCTGCGTTCGATGACACGAAGGGCTGGAAAAGGGAGAGGAGAACGTGAAGGGGGGAAAAAAGGAGACCAGAGCGGAGATGAGGAAGAAGAGAGACGGAACGACCGAGAAGGGGGCACTACGGAGAGAGAGAAAGAGAGCGCGCGCGATTGTCCGCCGATGCGGCCGACAGCACGACTGGCGGCGGCGGCCTCACCGCACCTCTGCACATCCACCCACGCTATATCGATCTCTCCCGTCCTCCGTCGCGTTTCGCGTCGCGCCCCTCTCGCCACCCTCCCTCGCTACTCTTCCTCTCTCTGGTACTCGCGCGCATCAGAAACGCAGTGTCGGAGTCGGGTGCCGGGCGCGCTGCTGCGCTGGTATCCGCGATTCGGCGAGGCTGGGGCATCGACGATGGTGGTGGTGGTAGTGAAGGAGGTGATGGTGCTGGCAGTGGCGGCGGTGCAGAACTAACTTGAGCTTGGACCCGATTGTATGTACGCGCGGCGATAGGCGCGTATATGAATGGACAGAGGCGAAACTGCGATGTGTACGTGAGGAGGCGACTGGGTAATAGTAACGCCGCGACGGGGTGGATGGCAGGGTGCATCCTGGATGTACAGGGTGCCGAAGAGATACGCGTATCTTTCTCGTTCATGGACTCCTTGGCAGAGACTCGAAACCCGATCTCTTCTCAGGACTTTTCTGCTTTTTCTCCCCTTCTCCATTTTCTCAACTTCTATAGTTAAATGTCTCGATACTTAAACGCGTTACACATTGAAATCGTAGTAAACTGTTCTTGGAGTAAAATTTAATCCAAATTGTTATAAAAATTATGGCCATACTGGTCAATTATGGAATACTGGTCAAAATCATATCTTTCTCGCGAACGCAGAAAAAAATATTCTGTTAAATTGTTAAAACTTTTAAATGTTTAACGAAAAATTTAAAGCTAGTCTCATCTTTTAATATCTGCACAGGAAAAAAATTAGTTTTAAATCAAGATAAGTATTCTCATATAGCAAGATGTTATATATCTTTTTAAAGGTTTTTAATTTTTAATTTTTAATTTTAATTTTGATTTGATTGAATTTATTATTGCAAGTATTGCACTCAATTCAAGATTAAAAATCTTTCAAGAAGATTAAAATCTTGCTTATATGTATATGAGAATATTAATCTTGATATACGAAAGACTAGTTTTTTTCTGTGTACAAAAAAAATAATATAAAGTAATATTAAAATATAAAAATTATACGATCGAGTGCAAGTTTCAATTTAGATTAATTTTTATGACCGCATGTGAATTATACGAATAGATAAATTTTTCTACAAATCTATTATACAAATTATATTTATAAATAGTTCAATAATGCCTTTGCGAACCGACACGGATGTTGGTGTGTAATAGTAATAATTTTTACTGTTACAATATCAAATCACATACAAACTGTGTACCGCATAAACTGTCGGTCTTGAAACACAGCTCTAACATGAGGCCAGAATCCATTGTAACAAATTAAATTGTCCAACAATTTAATATTTTTTATGCTAAGCATTTCGATAATAAATTATTACAAATTATATTATTAGACAAGTTATATAATCGTTGAGGAATTTTACGCGTATGATGATTCCACGCAGACAAATTTCATCGCAGACACGACCTTTGTTTGCATTAGTAATTAGAGACTGTGCACAATTTTACGTAACTGCTCCTACTGAGCAATAACACTTGTACTGCTGCAAATAGATAGCCGTGTAGCCGATCGAACGTTGCATCGCTCGGAAGATTAGAATCGTGAAAAAAAAAGTTGAGATGCTTTCGATAGGAGAATCCTCGACCGGTCTTCTCGGCGTTTGCTCCTCTCTCCTATTTCGGCGTCCATTTTACCGGTGGACGAATTACATGAGGGTCGAACGCAAGGATTCACGAAGGATAAACGCAAGAGATAACATCCGCAAAGGATAATAAAGTGTCGGAATAAATATAACTTTTGTATCGCTGTATCTCGAATTATTTCCAAAGAGATAGCCTTGTAATATTATGTGAATCTGAAATTGAATTTCTCTGAAGAGTTACGGAACTTCTAAAGCCCGTAACAGACTGCACATTGGAGATTGAAAATTGTAAATTAGGGAGATTAAAATTCTTCTAATCTAACTAGCTAATCTAATTAACAAGTCATTTAACTAGTCAAATGAATTAAAATTAAAATTATCCAATTGGTCGGATTCTTACATCTTAATATATTCTATGTATCTTCAATTTCTGATACATTGTGTGACACTGGCTTTAAGAGAGCTTAAAAACTTCGAGCCGAGGTGTTGTGAAATATAATTACTATACGAGCACACACTTGCTGCCTTCATCATCGTTTGCCGGTTCATATTATGCTCTTTTAACAAAAGGAAATCATTAGGACATGCAACGTGTGCGGGCCAGACGAGCATGTCGTAATACCGTAATAGCGACAGCAGCAGAGACACGGGACAGTTTTATTTGCGTAATAGTTACACTGTACCATGGACAGGCCTGGTAACCGCGGTGGAGAATCATCGTAAACAGTTTGGTAGCGATGGTACCAGTCGACGGAGAAACACAAAGGGATGCGAAGGGGGAGGGGAGCCGAGAGAGAGAAAGGAACGTCACTTCCGGCCCATTAAGATCGTCAAGGGTCGCGCGAATCGTGCACGAGAGGCTAATTATTCCTGGGGGACAGTGTCTCTCATCTTCAATGATTTTTATTCTCTCTTTTCCACCTTTTTTCCTTCAATAATTTTACGATTTCTTATTCGCAAGAAAATAACGCATCGAAAGACAATAATAATCATCAAAAAATTTAACACACAACGAGACGTAGAAAATATTCTTCTCGGACACGAAAGATGTTTACAATCTTCAATGATTTTCAATTGCCTCCTCGTCGCTTCGCCCTGATTGCTTAATTTAGTTTCTAATAATTTTGTAAATTTATGCGTTTGTGAAGAAAGGTCTTTGATAGAGTTCATTAAATCACGCGAAACGCGTTTCTTTCCAAGAATTGATTCTTAATTAGTTTCTTTCGGTATTTTGCCAGATGCGCCAATTTATCTCACCATCTGGCGAGTTATCAAGTTTTGTAAGACTAGATTTTGTCGTAGCGAGACCTCACCTGATCTGCGCGTGGTAGGCGGGCGTGGTGTGTTCGGTGTGCGTGGTCAAAAGTTCCGCGGGATTGCTGGCCATGTTTAGCGGGTGTCCTGTTGAGTGCGTGATCGGCTCCAGCAAGAGTACGCCTGGTGTCGCCGGCGATGGTTGCGGGCCTAACAACGAAACGCGTACTTTTTCTCTACCTTCGCTGAAAATCAAAAGAAACGTATTACATTAGTACACGGATGAAAGAGGCGTGTGTTGCGTTGGAAAAAAAATATCCGGTTGCATTAATTTATAGAAATCTGATATATAGATTTAACAAAAGGTATAAATCAGATACGCTTGTAGTAAAATCTGTCAAACGTTCTAGTCGAGATAACCAGAAATTCAATTACGATAAAAGGAATTCTGATTGGCAGTAAAAATTGTATATTGACTCGTATTTTAGAGTTCGTTTTAATTTTATCGAATAAAATTATGTAATTATATTACATCTTTGTTTGCTCGTTTGCTGGCCTCGCTAAATTCTGATTGGTATGATCAGAATACATTTTGTATGCACTTCTTATTGTTGGTACAAAAAACATTTTTCTCAGTGTATAAATCGGGCAGTAAAATATATCTTTTATTTTCCTCATTATATTATTATATTTTATATATTTTATGTATAATTATATATTATCTTTATATTTCTTATTTTTTTTATATATTATCTCATATTTCTTATTTTTTTAATACATTTATATATATATATATATAATCTTATATTTTTTTTATATTAATATCTACTTGGCTACAAATACTTGAGAGAAACGAAATTACATTTTTAATTGCTACATCGTAAAGATCTTAACAAATGGCACTGGAAAAGTCAATTGTTTTCTGACAATGCAATTTACACGCTAATCGCCCCTCCATCGCGTTCTCCATTAAAAATATACCATTTAACGTATGACCTTTGTATTCAGAGAACCGCGACTGGCAAGTCGCGAATAATAAAGTGAAGGGTGGATTTCCGCTAGCCTCGCGAGCCTCGTGGAAAAAAGCTAAGCGAAATTTAACGATTTAACTTCCGCTTTTGTCGCCACGCCTCTTCGCGTGTCCTACCCCCCCCAGGAGCGTGCAGCAACCACCCTGGAAAACGTCTGTCGTGCACGCACACGTGTGACTTTCACGTACAATCCGCCTAATCCGATGGCAGGAAGGTTAACGTATTGAACGTCAAATAAATTTTTTTTCAGTTTCGCAATTTCCATTAGACTGAATTAAAAGATTAGCTCAAGGGTTTCAGGAGTCTCTCTTTATATGATTGAGATTACAATTTTCTATTTCTAACAGTTTGATTCAGTTTTTTTTTAATTGGACTGATCTCATGAGAGTTTCAAGATTACAGATATATATACGATATTTTTAAATTTCTTAGAGTGGAGATTTTACTCAAAATGAGTGGAAATTCATTCGAATCAATAGCAAAATACCGCCACTCGGAATGGAGTGACATTTGACTATAAGAGTGAATGTTTAATTCCAACCATAGTGAATGTTTCATTCGATTGGAGTAAAACATCAATCAAAATGACTTCGGTGTGAAATCAGAAATCTTAACAAAATATTTAAATTCAGTATACGTAAATGTTAGCATGTATCTCTAGAAAAAGCGTTGTCGACATTTCTATGTAACATCAACTCAACAATGTTGACATGGTCAACGATATGACGATCAATGTGACTTGCTTATCTTGCTTGACGCATGCACTGTTTTCAATTACAATGACGTATCAGATTCATTCTTTAATTACGAATGAAAATATTATATATATATCATATGTACTCTCTCTAAAATTATAAATAACAGCTAAATATATAGATATGTATATATACAATTAGTTTGGTGACTGTGTATATATATATATATATATATA